GATAATCTTCAGTAGAATCTTGCTTGCATGTGAAATCAATGAGATTGTTCTATAGTTTCCACACTCTGTTGGGTCACCTTTCTTTGGAATGGGAAACTGCACTGCAGTCCCAAAGGCACGCAGTTCAAGTCTACCACCTGCTCTGCTAAAGAAAGATGGTGAGTCACCTCCTGATTGATGAGCTGTCTCTGAAAAACAACTGGAGGGTGAGCTATAGGTCAGTTCCAACTCAATGGTACGCCACCACCACGACATAGTCATAATAGAGCTGTAATCCAGATTGTCCATTTTAGGGACTAATCAATAATTGTTATTGTTGTTGTTAGGTGCCATTGAGTCAATTATGACTCACAGAGGGCCTAAGAGCAAGAAATCAAAAGGTGAAGTGGTGGGGAAATTAGAGAATTTTGTGGGCAGAGGGAAGGGATAAAGGAATTAGAATGGATCCAGTGGAGACCTAAAAAGATGAGGTGATAGTGGGCATGAAAAATGGTGATTAACTTTGTACAACAAAGGGTATGAAAATAATTGTATGAAACACAATGTGAATGCAGCCATGTGTGAAATGCAGTGTACATTATGTACATAATAACACACTGTGTATACAATGTATACTAATGTAGTCAAATTTTGTATGCAAACAATACAAAACAAAATAAGTCCTTAAAAAAATAAATACCCTTATTCAATCCTACACCTTCCTCTGGTGGCCTAGTGGTAATAAACTACCCCAATCCCAAAGGCACCTGGTCAGAATCCACTAGATGCTCCACAGAAGAAGGATAGGAAGTCTCCTCTCATGATAATTACTGTCTCTAAAAACCCCCTGGAGAGTCAACTATGAGTTGACTTGGGCTGGACAGCTCACACCGCCACCATCACCATCCTAACAGCACACACCACCACCATCACCATCCTAACAGTCTCCACCATGCTCAAGCAATTCAGTTTTTAAAAATGCCACACCTTCCAATGTTCATTTAAAACAACATTTTTCTTCTTGTTGTTATGAGCCATCCAGTTGCTTGCACCTCCTAGTGACCCTACGTACAACAACCCTAAACTCTGCTAAGTCCTGTGCCAATCGCACTCTCCAATACACCCATCCCGATTACCCCAGTAACTGAATCAATAAACCTCCCAGAGGCCTTCCCCTCCTGCACCAGCCCTCCACCATCCCAAACATGATATCCTTCTCCAAGGACCAGTCTCTCCTTACAACATGTCCAAAGTATGGTAGACAAAGCCTCAGAATCCTTGCCTCCAAGGAGTCGCCTGGTTTAACCCTCTCCAAGATTAATCTGTTTGTTTCCCTAGCAGTCCATTGTACCCTCAATACTCTTCTCCAGCACCACAGTTCAAAGGCATCTATTCTCCTTCTATCCTCCCTACTCATTGTCCAACTCTCTGATGCATAACAAGTGATTGCAAAGACCATGGCCTGTATCAGACTCATCTTAGTCTCCAGAGACACACCGTTGCTCTTCAGAACTTTGGAGAGGTCCCTAATAGCAGACTTTCCCATTGCAATACGTCTTTTAATTTTCTGGCTACTGGTACTGGTGCCAAGAGTGTTGACTATGGAGCCAAGCACACTAAAGCTGTGAACAATCTCAATCCCTTCACCATCCATCCTGATGCAACATTTTTCTTATTTACCAGAAATTTGTCATTTGATTATTACATGTGTTTTGACATTTTAGTCAATTTCTAGACCTAAGCTGTTTGATGAGGGTTGTGTTGTTTTTGTTGTTGTTGTTTAATTCAGCTTCCTTTTATCTAAAATTATTTTAAGATAAGTTATCTCTTTGGTAAAACAGGATTTCAGAAAAAAATAAGAGAAACTTTCAATGAGATTAATTGATACAACAGCAAGTATAATGGGTTAAAACCTGCCATGAAGATGATCATGAAGATGCCATCAGATGAGGTAATATTTTGTTCTGTTACCTATAATGTCTCCATTAATCTGGCTGAAACAATAGCAAAGAAAAACAAGATGACAGGACTGTGACAGTGAGAAATCACCCTTCAATGTTAACCCAGGTATTGTATTATAAGTAAAAAAGAGTAACAAAAATCAAGCTGTACTTATAAGATTAAAAGAGTCTAAGAGGGGGAGGAGATACCTGCAATTTCTTCTAAAGTGTTGGCATGCATGTCCAGAAGCACAGTTCCGTTCAGAATACAACTTCTCAATTCAAACAAGCTGTGCAATGAAAGAGTTGCTACATAAGGTTTACTCCACCTCTCTCCGCCATCTTCCACATCTTCTTCAAACTTCAACCACCTAGGCAAATAAATATATTTGTCAGTATACTGAATATTATTATATTGAAGAGCAATGTAGAAACAGTATTCTTATTGCTTCTCGGTTTACAGATTTTGGAAACATAGACATTACTTAAAGGCACTTAATGGGTTTTATCTTAATTCCATTTAAAAACTATTCTTTTAATAATCAAAATTCCAAACTTACACTATTTCTATTAATGTTACCAGCTCTTAAAAAAATTTAAATACAAAAGCTTGACCAGTAGTCACAGTAAAGCTGTTATAGAACGAATAAAGAGAAGTGTGTTTCTTTTACTATAGAAATAAAATTATTACTGAAATATATGAGAGAGAATGAAAGAAAACCCTTTTTCTCCAGTGAGAATCTTAAACTTGAATATTTCTTGATTATTTTCCCCTTGTATTTTTAGGAAGGTTAGTATAATGTGGAGAATTTTGTTCGTGAAAACGCTTGCTGGGCCTGTTTGGATTAAAACTATTGATGATGATCCCTTCCCAACGACTAAACACAAAAATTGAGCTTCATGAGATTCTCCCACTGGGGTTGAAGTAAAGGAGACAAATGTTGCCATGAAGGTGTGAAATGAAAAGCCACTACATTGTTAGAACAAAAAGAATAGTATGAGTTGAAATGTGCTCAACAACACGGAACAACAGCAGCAGCATCCTGAACATGATTACTAGAAGGGACTGAAAGAAGTCAGTGACTGTGCTTCCCAAGCACACACAAAGAACTAAATCTCTCTAGGAATTTGTTCTCCAGTGCCAATAAGTTATCCAATTAATCTCAACATTTCTAATAAACATTTTCCTAAATATACTTTATAAACTCTTCTATCCCTACTATAAGGAGCTCTGATGGCCTAGTGATAAGGAGCTGTCCTGCAATCACAAAGGCATCTAGTTTGAATCCACCAGCAGATCAACAGGAGAAGGGTAGGAACTGTCCTTTTATTCCATTAATTACTTCTGAAAACCTGCTATAAGGTCATCTATGGGTTGGTTCTGTCTCAATGGTACTCAACAACGTCCCTACCATATACTTTATTCCTTCCTTTTTTAGTCATTTGTCACTCTATCTTTCTCTCTCTTTGCAGCATCACTCCTATTCTTAATGTGGGTAAATTAGATGTCAAGAGGTTTACCAAGACTCACAGTGACTCTATGAAAAATAGATCGAAACTTTGCTCTATGCTGCTCAATTCTCACAACCTCTGACATAAACAATGTCATTGTTACAGTCAGTCACTGTGTTAATGCATATTATTAAGAGCAGTCTCTGACTGATGGTCTACCTTTCCCAGTATGATGTCTTCTTGCAATGATTGGATCCTCCTGATAACATAGCAAAAGTATGAGAAATGAAGTTTCACCATCCTTGCCTCTAACAAGAAACTGGTTGCACTTGCTCCAACAGCTTTATTTGTTCTTTTAGTTGTTGTTGTTAGACGTCACCAAATCGAATACAATTCATAGCAACCCTATGAACAAAATATCTGAACCCTGTTTTATCCTGCACCATCCTCACACTTCCTGACACACAAGAGCCCACTGTAGCATAACCATGTCAATCCACCTGGTCAAGGGTCTTTGTCTCCTTCGCTGACCCTCCACCCTTCCCAGCATCGTGTTCTTCTCCAAGTCATAGACCCTTCTAGCAACATACCCAAAATATGTAAGGCAAAGCCTCCTCATTCACACCTCCAAAGAGCACTCTGGCTGTACCTTCTCCAAGACATAGCTGTTGTTCTCTTGGTCTTCCATGGGATGGTCAGTGCTCTTTTAATAGTCCATGGTATAATCAATACTCTTTGCAAGTACTACAATTCAAAGGCATCAATTTTTCTTTGGTCTTCCTATTTCATTGCCAACTTTCATAAAGTAAAGTAAGCAATTTAAAATATCATGGCTTCATTGAGGCACATCTTAGTCTTTAAAATGACACCCTATTCTTTAGAACTTTAAATAGGTCCTTGACAGCAGAATTTCCCAGTGTGACACATGCTTTGACTTCTTGACTGCTATTACCATGAGTGTTGATTAAAGATCCAAGTAAAATGAAATCTTTAACAACTTAAATCTTTACACCATTTATCATGATACCATTTATTTTCATTTTCTTGATATTGAGATGTAATCCATATTGAAGACTATAATCTTTGCTCTTCTGCAGCAAGAGCCTCTTCACTTTCAGTAAGGAAGATTGTGTCATCCGCATAACACTAGTTCTTGACGCATCTTCCTCAGACCCTGGTGTCACATTTTTCTTCATAAAGTGCAGTCTCTCAAATTATTTGCTTGGTATACAGATTAAATACATATAGATAAAGGACATAGTCCTGATACTGAAATGCAAATGTTGGGAACAGGAAAGAAGGATCAGTAGCTGGAAAACACGGGCTCCATGAGAGAAATGAGGCTGGAGATAGAATGATGGAGTTCTTCACATTCAAAGATTTATTCATTGCAAATACTTTTTATAAGAAACATAAACGCAGGCTATATACATGGATTTCACCTGATGGTATGCATAGGAATCAAATCAATTACATTTGTGGAAAGACTCGCTGGAGAAGCTCAATATTGGCAGTGAAAACCAGGCGGGGTGCTTATTGTTGGACAGACCACCAACTACTCATATGCAAGTTCAAGATGAAGTTGAGGAAAATTAAACCAAGTCCTTGGGAACCAAAATTTGACCTTAAGTCTGTCCCACTAGAATTTCAAAACCATCTCAGGAATAGGTTTGAGGCCTTGAGCACCAATAAGCATAGACCAAATGAGTTCCGGAGGATATCAAGAAAATCATCCATGAAGAATGCAAAAGATCATTACAAAGGCTGAAAAAGAAGAAAAGACCAAGATGGATGTCAGATGAGACTCTGAGTATTGCATTAGAGCGCCGAGAAGCCAAAACTAAAGGAAGAAACCAAGAAATCAAAGAACTGAACAGAAAATTTCAAAAAGCAACCCGGGACAACAAAGCAAGATATTATAATGAAATGTTCAGAGAGCTGGAATCAGAAAATCAAAAGGGCTAAATTCGCTCAGCTGAAGTTTCTGAAGCTGAAGGAGCTGAAAAACAAATTCAAGCCATGGGTGGCAATAGTTAAGGATAATGGAGTCCTGATACACACTTTTTTCAAAAGGTTAAACCATAAGTTCCTTCGCTCTTTTTTGGTAACAGTTTCCTGGTCTAGGTATAGATTTCACATAAATACAGTTAAGTGTTTTGAGATTACCATTCTTTCCAAGGTTAACCATAATTTGTTATTATCCACACAGCCAAATGCCTTTGCACTGTCAATAAAATGCACAGTCAATACAACACAATCAGACATCCTTCTGGTATTCTCTGCTTCCTGCCAAGATCTATGTGACAATAGCAATTATCTCCCCTTGCAACGATTTATTCTGAATCCAGCTTGAAATTCTGACAATTACCTGTCAATGTACTGCATCAGACATTTTTTTATTAATTTTTTATTAATAATTTCCAATTCCAGTTGGATTACCGGTTTTGGAGATGGAAAAAAACAGGTTACTTCCACTCAGCTGGACAGGTAACTTATAAGATAGCAGGTAATGGGTAAGTTGGACAGGTCTTCCAAATTTCTTGGCATAGGCTATTCCAGGCCTTCCTGTTTGTTGAAAAATCTCAACTGGTATTCCATCAATTTCTGAGGTCTTATTTTTTGCCAATAACTTCAGTGCTGGTTGGACTTCTTCCTTCTTAACATTGGTTCTTCATCATATGCTACTTCCTAAAGTGGTTCTAAATGGACCAATTGTTTTGATACAGTGACTTTTCATATCACTCCCATCTTCTTTTGATGCTTCCAGCATCATAAAGGTTTTGTCCACAGAATTCTTCAGTATTTCAACTCAAGTCTTGAATTTATTCTTTAGTTCTTTCAGCTTGAGAAAGAAATTCTGTGTGTTCTTTTGGTTTTCTAGCTCCAACTGTTTTTCATATTTCATTATAATACTTGCTTTGCTTCTCAAGATTTCCCTTGAAATCTATGTTCTGTTTGTGAGAGGTAGCAACTCAACAGTATCTACAACAATATGCTTTATATACTACTGAAATAATGATGTCTTTTGACACAAAAATAAAAGGGAGACTAAACCAACAGTTATGCTGGTGTTATTTGACTAAAGAACATTGGCAGATTTGAAATCTAGTTCACAGTCCAATGGATTGTAAAGAAACTCATAGCGACCCTGTGTACAAAAGCTCTAAACACCATTCTATCCTGTGCCAACCTAGCCATCTCAAACACACTCATTCCCAACACTCCACTCACAGAATCGATCCATCTCATCAAAGGTCTTCCTCTCCTTCACCGCCCCTCCACTATGCCAAACATGACATCCCTCTCCAAGGACCAGTCTCTCCTTGCAACATGTCCAAAGTATATCAGACAAACCTTCATAACCCTTGACTCCAAGGAGCATTCCAGCTTCACCTTCTCCAGGACAAAACTGTTTGTTCTCCTAGCAGTACATGGTATATTCAACACTCTTCTCCAGCACCACAGCTCAAAGGCATCAATTCTTTTTCTATCATCCTTATTCACTGTCCAACTCTCTGATGCACAGCACATAATTGTAAAGACAATAGCCTGGATCAGCTGGAGTCAGAAAATCAAAAGGGCTGAACTCACTCAACGTTTCTTAAGCTGAAGGAGCTTAAAAACAAATTCAAGCCATGGGTGGCAATACTTAACGATACTTTGGGTAGAATGTTAAATGTTTCAGGAAGTATCAAGAGAAGATGGAAGAAGTACACAGAGTCACTACAGTGGAATTGGCTGACACAGAAGAATTTCATGAAATAACATATGAGCAAGAGCCTATGATGATGAAGGACAAAGTTCAAATTACTCAGAAGGAATTGGCAAAAAACAAGGCTCCAGGAGTTGATGGCATACCAATTGACATAATTTAACAAACAGACACTGCCCTGGATGTGCTCACTAAGTTGTGCCAAGA